CACTTAGACACAGCTAGTTTCTTATCTAACCTAATTATGTGTTGTACAGGAAATGGCAAGGCTTGCCATTTGTGTGATTTTTCAGTGAGCCCCACCCGTGGCCTAAAGCTTGGCTTGGAGTCTGGCAGCTGGAATTTCTCCCCAGCTGAGGATGCACTGTCCTGGGAGAAGAAAGAGTGGGTCCCTGTCAGGACCTGGCTTCAGCCAAATGGGAAAAGGGGATTTGATATGGACTTCCCAGTTTGGTTCATGTCCATAGCACTGTGTCTGGACCTTGAGGACAACTTCTGCATGTGTGATATGCCAGGGCCACTGACTGGAAGAAATGGCCAAGAATTGGGTCAGTGTGATCTGTGGCAGGGGCAGCACTCTGTCTCGTAGGACAAAGCCAGAATATGGGTGGTGTGAGGCCAGGATCACCTGGCTTGGCCAGACTGGTACATTCTGTTGCTATTTTTTATTTTTATTTAAAAAAATTCTACCTTCAACCAAGGGCATGCTTATTGATTTTAGAGAGAAGGGAAGGGAGAGAGAGAGAGAGAGGGAGAAACATTAATTAGTTACCTCCAGCATGTGCCTCGACTGGTGACCAAACCCATAATTTGCCCATGTGTCCTGACCAGGAATTGAAACTGTGACTTTTTGGTTCACAGGACGATGCTCCAACCAACTGAGCCATACCAAGCAATGCCTGTTGCTATTTTTTAGAAGTTGCCCTCCCTTCTCCATGTCTGCAGTTCACGGACTCCAGGACTTCCTATGATTCTCCTCCCATTTGTACTCTGATCCTTCCCCTGCTCTTCTCCATCCCTCTGCCCCACTCTGTCACCTCTCAGCTGTTTCTCAGGGCAGCATGCCTCTGCTTCAGGAAACTATAATATTCTTGCCCTGAGCAGTTAGCTGTTCCCAGGGGTGGGTGGTCGTCTGGCTCTCCCTGGAACACAATGGCCCAGATGCCTCCACTTGTCCCCAGGTGGTGATCTTTAGCAGTGCCCCAGGAAGTTAGCTGTTTCTCCCAAGAGCCAGGATGGGCCATATCTGTAGTTTCTGAAACAAAAGCTTTAACATAGCATTACTTTCTAGGTTTATAACTATTTACCTTAAACTAAAATTTTCCAACTCTCGAGTCCCCTATCACATGCTCCTGAAGAGCCGAGGCCCCTAACACTGGTGAGGCAGGCCTTGCTCACTGCATCTTGAGACCCAAATGTCCCCAGGTTTCTCCAGCCCGTGGTTCATGTGAGAAGTGGGAATGCCCCACCTTTGTGGGCTGTGTTCCCAACTGCACAATGGTAGGTCCTTTATATGGGAACCTTCAGTTGTTTTAGGAAGTCACCTGAGGGTACACTGTGCCCACAGGATTGGATCTCCCAGGGTGCTTCTGCTCCACCTTTCCCATGGGTCACCTCCAACACCTTGAGGGCTGCTTGTTTCCCTGTCAACCTTGCTTCCTGAACCCCCTGTGCTATGCCCCTCAGTTTTGTTGAACCTCAATCACACTGGATTTCATCTTCAATGGGGAGAGGATGTCCTCCCAATTTGGGGTCTGCTTTGCTGCCTTGGTCTCACATCAGGGGCCTTACACCTGAGGTCTATCCTGCTCCTCACAAAACTAACTGCCCCAGGTACTTATCCAAGAGCAGGGCAGAAAACTGCAGACTTGTTTTGATGCAGTCAGCAAGTTAAGAATGATTTGAATATTTAAAACTGAAACGAATCAAAAGAAGAATAATATTCTGTGATGTGAAAACTATATGAAACTTACATTTCAATGTCCATAAATAAAGTTGTATTGGCACAAAGTCATGCTCACTCATTTTTGTATTTTTATATTGTATATGTCTGGTTTCACCTTGCAAGGGAGAGTTTATCTTTCTAGCAACTGCCAAACTGTTTTCCAAAGTGGTGTGTCACTTTATATTCCATCCACTATATAAGTTTCTGTTTCTCCACATCCTTGTCAATGCTTGGTATGAATAGTCTTTTAGCCATTTTTATGGTACAGTGACCTATCATTTCGTTTTAATTTGTGTTTGCCTAATGATAATGAGAATATTTTCATGTGCCTAATTTACTGTCCAGATATCTTCTTTGGTGAAGTATCTGTCAAACATTTTGCACATTTTTACTGGGTTTTCTGATTATTGAATATTAGAGGGTTTAACATATAATCTGGGTACAAGTTCTTGGTCATATATGTGATTTGCAAATATTTTTCTCAATCTGTGATTTGTCTTTTATTTTGTTAACATATTTCAAAGAACAGAAGATGTTCAATTTAACAAAGTCCAATTTATCCACATTTTCCTCAATGGATTACTTTGGTATCATATCATTGAATAATCCAAGGTTACAAAGAATTTTTCCTACCTTTTTTCTAGAAGTTTTGTGATTCTAGGCTTCATGTTCAGGTCTATGAGTCATTTTAAATTATTTTTACTTTATGGTGTCAAATGCAGATGACGGGCTTTTTTTGGCATATGGATATCCAGTGTTTGAGCTCTATTTTATGAAGAAACTATTATTTACCCACTAAATTGCCTTCACACTTTTGTTGAAAGCCTTATTCAGGTTTCTGGACTCTTTTCTGTTCGACTAATTTGTCTATTTTGATGTTCATAGAACACTGTCTTACTTACTGTAGCTTTCTAATAAGTTTTGATATCAAGTAGTGTAAGCCCTTTGATTTTTTTTTTGTTCAACATGTTTGGGTTATTCTAGGTCCTTTGCATTTCCATACAATGGAATTTTAGAGTCAGCTTGTCAGTTTCTACCAAAAAAAAGTTCTTTCTATGACTTTGATTGGGATTGTGTTGAATCTGTATATCAGTTTGGGGAGAATAACATCTTATCAGGGTTGAGTCTTTTGATCCATGGCTACAGGGTTATCTCTCCATGTATTTAGGCCTTTAATTTTCCTCAGTAACATTTTTGTAGTTTTCAGATATTCCACATCTTTTATTATATTACTCTAAGTATTTCATGTTTTTAATGAGACTCCAAGTGGTACTGACATTTTAGTTTTAATTTCTGATTGTCTGTTAGAGCTGAGACAATTTCCTAAAAGACTTAGGTATGGAGTGTGAAGGAGGAGTATACTCAAAGATGTGCCAGAGGGTTTTGGCCCAAGCTACTAGTAGGATAGCATCTCATCCATGATGCTGGCCAAGAAGAGACTGGATGTTAATAATAATACAGCTTTTTTTAATCACTATTATATTGCTGAGAACGTTCCATGTTCCTGATACTGAATTTCTTACCTCGCATAAATAGTTTTTTAAAATTCTTACAAGCACCCTATATGGTAGGTTCTATAATAAGAGTCTTGTTTTATAGAAGAAAACACCATGATACAAGAGCACTAACCAACTTCTCCAAAGTTATCCAGAATGTGAGAGGAAGCTAGGTCTTGAACTCAGAGGTCTGCCTACAGATGGGAACCACAGCCCTGTGCCTCCTTCTCTCAGGGCACAGTAAAAGGCACTTCTTGGGGGTGGGAATTAGAGTTGGGCCCTTCCCACTTTACTAATCCAGGGTGGGTAAACATACCCAGGGCTTCTCTGGGCTGGCTGCTCCCTGAGCAAAACATAGTACATATCCCAGGACCCTGGGTAAGAACAGTATTTTCTAAAATGTGGCTCAGGGACCTCAAGACCATAAGGTGATTATAAGGGGTTCAAGGACAAGAGTTGTTTTTCCATATATTTTTATGTGCCTAGAAAACATTGACTGTACATAAAAACTGTAATTTCAAAGACATTACAACAAATGAGTGAAATTAAAAATAATATGAAGATATTTATAATTGATACAAGTTGGGTAGAAAAATTATGAAGGCAGTAAGGGATTGAGAAAACTCAGAAAAATATGTGAATGAAAGGATAATTCCTCAGAGAGGAGAGCAGAGAAAAAGGGAATGAATTCATTATTCCCTTATCAGGCTTGTTATGAGAAACCACATTAATCATCATCATCATCATCATCATCATAATTAACAGTTGCTGAGTCCCTGCTCTGTGCCAGGAACCATGCACACATTATCTCATTTACTCTTCACAACAACCTGTGAGGTCAGTAATTATTACTCCAATTTTACCAAACAGCAGCAAGAAGACGAGAACAACTGAGGCTGTGGGACAAACAACACAAGAATGCAGAAGAGAGTCCTGAATTGTGTGTCTCACAGCCTCTACTCCAAGGAGCTCAGGGGCCTTCTGTGAACTGTGCTCCAAGGAGGGAGGATGGTCTAGCAAGTTGCCATCTGTGTCAGTGAGCTTCTTGTCCCAGGAGGTGATTAAACTGGTCTCCTCCATCACAAAGATGCTAACCCTTTTCCTGTTTTTATTCCTCCAAAAGCATCTTTTGTGTTTTATGGTAGGGCCTGGGGTGTAGCTGCTCTTTGAAACCCAGGCATTGGCTAGCAGGAAAGGGCCCCCAAGGCTCTAGGGCCTGGAGGCAGGCTGTTTAGACTCCAATCTGTCTGTGGAGCCCAAGAAACATGAGACTGCATTGTGCTGCAGAAGCTGTGCTCTGGCCTAGACCCTTGATCAGGTTCTGTTGCTGACCTTAGACCAATCCCTTTTCTGGGCCCTTATATGTGATATGGCAGAGTTAGAGGGTCTGTGGCCATGAGCTCTTAGAAATTAAGTTTCAGGCATCTGTGTCCAGACTTAGCCTCTCTCCATCAGGCCTAGCCTGGCTTAGAACAGAAAGTGAATCCTTGGGAAATGCTAGTGACTGAATGAATGGATTTATGAATGAATGAACAGTTGCATGAATTGACAGTTAAGCCACCACACTGATGTCAGTGCCTGACGCCTGTGTGGCAACTGCAGGGCTACCATGTGTGCTCCCCACAGCACTGGGGCATTGAGTACTCTGAATGTTTGAGTGATTTATCTATGACAAAGCATTTTTGGCAAATGGTAGTGAAGGGGCTTGGACAAAGGGTGTCCCTGTTATAGAAAAATGAAGCAACCAGACACCGAGGGATTCTGGAGTACGAGGTTTATTAATGTGCATGGGTGCAGAGGAGTCAGTATCCAAATTCTGAGCCCCGAACAAAGGATTCTTGGGGTTTATATAGCCTACGGGGTCTTCCTGTCTACGTAGCAAAGTGGGATACAGAAGCGGAATGCGGTAATTAGTTCTATCTATGGGGCAGAAGTAGAGTACAAAGGCTAAATGTGAAAATTAGTTCTATCAGCAGGAATGCTAGCCCCAGTCCTTGTGACTATCCTGCTGTTTGCTTTTCCCAGACGGCCTTATCACTCTCCCAGGGCGCCTGGGGTTTTGGGTGAGCAAAGGTTTTTCAAAGCTTCCCACATCATCCCTGTATCAACTAGTTTGGGGGAAGAAAGAGATCTCAGTGCAGGGCAACAGAGTGTTCTTAGAGCTTTCAGAGATATGGGGGAAGGAGACAATTTGGAGAACCCTGTTTACTAAAACAGCTATGAAGGTGCTGAAGCAACAGCTGTAAGAGTGGAATAGAAACCACGTACTCTTATGTGAGCACACACACACCAGATCTGGGCCTGTCATGTGTATCTAGAACTTACTAAAGCAAAACTGATTTGGGCTGAGAGAGATTTGATTTTATGCCAAACAAATTTCATCAAGATTTTCATATGAAGAGCTTTATTTCCCCTCAAATGTATTCTGCTTGGCTACACGTTAATGTACTCAAATCCAATCTCAAGTTATCTGCCTCTTTGGGGGAGCCAGTTGTCCTGAGTGGCTTTCAGGAGCCTGGATTTCTTTCCCTGGAGATCAGAGCACAGAGAGAGGCCAGGGTAAGCATTGCCATGATGAATGGGTGGGAAAGAAGTACTAGTTTAGATGAAGAAAGCTGAGACTTTCCCAGGGTGAGAGCAAGGTCTACGGCATTGTTGGTGGAGGCAAGACAGGGGGCCCTCAGCCATCCCAGTGGTGATGTCAGAGTAGAGACTGGCCTCACAGTTATTAAGAAGATATGATGGGAAGAAGCTCAGCTGGGAGAGAGCTGGGCCTGGCTGCTGTCTCAGGCTGAGCTCATGGAAGTGAGTGGAATTGGGGTCCCTGATCTCTGAAGCCAGGAAAGCCCCTCATGAGTCACCTGTCCTGAGACTGTAGGGTGGGCAGCAATGGGAAAATAATTCCATCCTCATGCTGTCCTGTCACTGTCCACTCCAAAGTATCTCCAAGTAGGGATCCTGGAGCCTGTATCAGCACTGTCTAGAAAACGGTTTCACATACAGGCTGTGGCTTCTCCTCTGGCCAGTGGGTCCAGAGTCCAGGGCATTGGAATTCTAAGACTGGACTTGTATTCCAGGTGTTCCAAGAGCAGTGCCATCCCTATGTGAGCATTCTTTGCTTCCTGGACCTGCCATCACTCTAGTCTGATATAGTTCTGAGCACAAAAACATGCCTTCTCTCATGTTTTCTCTGCACCTCTCCCCAGCCCAGGTAGAGAACTTCTCCAAGCACAGCACCTGTCTCTCTGTCACTGGGGCCTGCCACAGGGCCTGGATCTGCAAGATAAAACACTGGCGAGTGAATGAGTAAGTGATTTTTTGAAGACTACATAGTGTCAGGGATAGTCAGTGTGTCATTGGTTTCATCCCTCCATGAAATAAACAGATATGATTTTAATATCATGACAAGCCATCAGGTAGACTCTGGGATCCAATTTTATACATGTAGAGAGTGAGGCTAATATTGGCAGGAAGTGAGAACATAGGGAATAGGGCTCAGGCTGCCTGGCTGTCTGGCCTTGCTCTTATCCTTGACCCTCATTGCAGATACCAGTCCTGACATTCATTCTCTGGATACCAAGCTGTGGTTGAACAGCTTTGCACTGATCCAGCTCTGGGGTCTTCCGATCCCCGCTGGATTTGGGATTCCTGCATGCCTGGATCCACATGGCCCTTGCAGCTTGGCCCAGGAAGCCAGAACACCTGGCCTCTGATCCAGTCTGTTCTTCTGCTGGGGGCCTTGGTGTAAAGCCTGCTCTCTCCCTCCCCTCCCTAACCCTTAGGCCTCTGCCCTGGACTTATCCCCATCACTGACAACCATTAAAGACTCCTGTCCTGGCTGGCCAGCTTCTGAAATACTGAGACCAGCATAAACCAACTATTCCCTTAGTTGCCAAGAAACTTTAGTCTCAGCACTACAAGACCTAGACCCTGGGCCTTGTCTCCATGCCCCCATCCCAGGCCTGCTCTGTTTGTCTCCCAAGCAGACTCTGTTTCTAACCCCGCTGGAGTCTACAGTATGACCAGGTCTGCAGTGAAGGCCCTGGGTGTCCCCATTCCCTCTGGATTTGTGTGTGGAGCAGCTTCCTCCTTCAGGTATCAGAAAACTGGCCCTGGAGGTATGCACCATAGACCCTAGTGAAATGCCAGAATCTCGCTTTAGTGCCACAAAGAAAGAGGCTGCTCCCATCCAGTCATATGAATCTTACATGACAGACTCAGGAGGGCCCTGACAGTGAGCCTGCCTTCTGCAGTCCTCCTTTGCCTCCTTCTCTGAGCACATTCTGCCCAATGCCCTCTCCTCTTCCCATGGTTGCCTCTTATGCTCTGAGCTCCATGGATGGCACTTGTTTACTCTCAGGCTGCTGGCCTCATCCCCTACAACATCCTGGTCCCAGACTATGACATCCCACCAGTTTCCTTGAGTCTCTCCCCACTTTCTTCACTCCATTCTGCTTTACCCCACTATGAAAGGCTTGCTTCCTGGACCTGCCATCACTCAGAGATACTTTTTTACTCCGAGAATCACCAGCTTTGAAATGTCTGTGACTGTGGCTCATTCATTCATCTGCACATTCATATACTAAATCAATACTTGTGGAGCATCTTCTATGAGCTGGGCACTGGGAATATAGTTCTATGGGGTGGATGATCTATCTTTTCCCATCACTCCCACTCTCACCTTGCCCCATCACCTGCCTCCAGCCCCTGAAGCCTCGGAGCAATAGCCTCTCCTGATGCCAGCCTCCAACTGGCCCTCCATCTTTGCTCATTTGTTCATTCTACTTCTAGCCCCTTGTACCCTGTGTGTTTGTCAATGCTGTCTCTTATTCCTGCAATACCCTACTCTTCATCCTAATAAGGCCAAGTTATACCTGCTCTCCCAGGTCTTGCTCTAGGGCCACCTCCTTCAGTGTTATAAAGTGAATTGTGTCCCTCTAGAATTTGTATGCTGATGTCCTAATCCCCAGTATCTCATAGTGTGACTGTATTTAGAGATAGCATCTTTAAGGAGGTAATTAAATTCAAATGACATAATTAGGGTGAGACCCAATCCATTCTGACTGATGTCTTTATAAAAAGAAGAAATTTGGACACAGTTACAAAGGGAAGACCCTTTGTGAGGGCACAGGGAAAAGACAAAGATAGAGAAAAGAAAATAACCCTGCTGTCACCTTGATCTTAGGCGTCTAGCCTCCAGAATAGAGACAACTTTGTTGTTTAAAGTGCCCTGCCTGTGGTCCTTTGCCATGACAGACAAGTGAAGGAAGACAGCCAGAATGCCACCTGTGTCTCCCCTAGGGCATGAGATATCTCTCCCTGTAGCTTCTTCACCTCAAGTTAAGTCTTGTTTGCACAGACTCCAGCAACAAGACCCCAGAGTGTCCCTCCATCTTCCCCATGGTATTGGGAAGCAAAAGGCAGTACTCAGGAAATGCTTGTTGAATGAATGTGCCCAAGAGAAGCAATGGACCAGCAGACCATTCAGCCTTGGACAAATGCTGTGAATTGTGTTTTGAAACAGGTGTGAAATATGACAGCAGGCCCATCCTTGATGTTTATGGCCCTTCCTGGCCTTCCTGGGGAGTTGTGCTCTCCACTCTTCAATTCATGGTCTTCTGGTGTAGCTCCAGATGGACAAGGAGATTGCAAATGGCTTGTCTGCTAATAGCACGGGCAGACAGTGCAAGGGGTGGCTGTCCTTGGCCTGGGGTCAGCCCTTCTCACCCAGAGTCAATGCCTTGAACTTGAGATGTGTCTCCTCCTTCACCTTCCCCTTTTCAAATACTTCAAAGTTTATAGATAGGTCCCTATTTTCTAACAATCTCTTACTCTCTATTTTAGACTTAGCTTCTTTCTCATTTTTCTTTAAATTAACCCCGGCTATAAGACACCAAGTCCATTTTATTGCCATCCCCAGGCATATGCTAGATTGGGTGGTGTCAGCCTGTGGGCCCTCTGCATGGCTAGAAGAATATAGGAATGATTAGGATTCCCCGGAAGGAAAATCTCAGGGAGGGTAGATGATGCTAAGGAGCTTAGCTACCCAAGTCGCTCTGCACCCACCTGGGCTTGATATTGAGAGGCAGGTGAATTTCCTTCAAGAAGTTCTGAGTCCTGGGGTTGGAAGAAGACATCAGAGTAAGGGTGAGTCCTTCAATGCCCAGCAACTGAGTCAAGGGTGACCCAAGCACTGGAGGGTACTAAATTCTTCAGAGGGACTAACTACCTACTTGCCATGTATTTTCACATGTAGAACAAAAGTTACATAGCTGTCAAATATTCCCAGGATGAGTTCCAGCTCAAAATCAACATGTGGGCTGTGGCCCTTGACCTCCATGTAAGTATGTGTTCTGGGAAGAGCCTACCAAGTAAGGGCATGGCCAGGACTCACCACCTGCTATGGGGTGCAGAGACAAGGCAGGCAGGCCTAGGTGTTGTGTCTCTCCAAACTGACTTCCCTATGCTTGCAGTGGGCAGTGTCATGTCTGTGTCCTGTGCCTTAGCCACAGAAGCATGTTGAGAGTGGCCCCTCACTCTCCATGGGGCTCTGCATGGTGGGTAAGACCACTCTGGAGAAGCCAAATTCCAAGGAATTTGGGATTTAGAGGAGCCTAATTCCAAGCGTTGAGGAATGCTGAAGAAGGGTGGTGCTTCCCTGAGACCTTCCTACCTATCTCAGAATAAAGATGCAAATACCCGACTGGAAAAGGGTGGCAACTTTAAACTCAAGAGCTCTTTATATTGGAAAATAGTTGTTTTAATAACACAAAGACAGTACAATATTTCCCCATAGTTTCCAGTAAGCAATACATTTTTTTTCAGTGCAGTAAGCTCTTTGGAAAGGTGAGACCTATGTGATTTGGTGTGCAGGTCCAAGAATCTGGGCTTCCAGTGTACTGCTCCCAGGAACCCCAAAACAATCTCTCATTTGTTTGTAAAAATGCATCCTTGTTCCATCCAAGACTGTAGTCCCACCGGCCCTTCCTCAGTGGTCCTATGGAGTGGAAACCCTGAGGTTTTCCTTGCACCCAGGCACTGTGTCATCCTAGCAGCTGCCATGGCTGCCAGGCCAGGGCCACCACCATCTCCTTCTTTCTACCCTTCTGCAGACCAGCAGAATATTCTCCCCTTCTCGTCACCTACGAAGAGTTTGGTCTGGTTTCTGAGGAAGAAAAAGAATAGGCAGGAGTGTTAGAGTCAAGCCTGTGGTCCGCTCATCCCAGTGGGCAATCAGGAAATTGCCAACATGGAAGTTTCAGTCAGGGACACCTGGAGCCTGCCCCTGGACTCCACCTGAGGCAGTGGAGGGAGCAGGAAGACTGGAGAATGTTTTGACCCTGTGGGGTAACAGGGGGCAATGTGAGGTACTTTTGAACTAAGATGGCTGTGGCTTCCAAAGCACTGGGAGATTATCCAGGAAGCTTGGGCCCCAGGGAGCAGACCCTGGCTTTTTCTTTCCAATACCTCTAGCTGCCTCCTGTCCTGTCCTGTCCTGTCCTGTCCTGTCCTGTGAGAGGTGTGGCCAGGACCCTGTGGTACATCTGATATTGGCTGTTCCACATTTGTTTAGAGCCCTCAAAAGGCATTTTCTGTAATATAGGATAACTATCACCTCAAATATTACAATTGGCAGTGGCCCTCAAGAAAAATTTCCTCTTTAGGAAAGTAATATATTTTAATCTTTGGATTTCTTTATGATTTTATGGATATTCAGTGAGAGAGGGCAGAAACATGTGTGTGTTAAGAAACAATTCCTGTGGCCATACATGGTCACCTGGCCTGAATCTTGTGCATGGCCAGCCCACCTGCGCCACTGTCCTGAGGCTACTTCTCAGGACCAGGCTCCTGAGCAGAGACATAGACTTTCCTAAGGTGGCCACAGTACACTCTGCTGGAGGACTCAAGGAGCTAAGCTGTGGTTACCTGGACATGGCCAGAGCTGTCACAGCAGTGCTGGTCTTGCTGGGCTTTCCTGTCAAAGCAACACTAATGTCCAGCTCTCTGCACAAGGCAAGATTCTTCTCCCACCTGTGGCCTGTAGGGATCACATGAGAATGTAGTTAGAAAACTCAAGTGGCTTCACACACATGCATGTGTACATCCACACAGAGTGCCACAAACACATACACACATATTTATATTTGTGGTCAGCAACTTGTTAAATTGAGGAGGGAAATATACTTAATCTTGGCCTGTGCTGTTGTGAAAAGGGCCGCCCCAATTTAATTTGCAGGCTGTGATAGTTACATGTGCTGACGTGCTGTGGTATCCATTGTGTACCAAATTGGATTTGTGTATTATTGCTTTCTAAATTGCATGACTAGTTCAGCAAAATTGTTCATCAGTGTTTACTGGCTTTATGCTTAATAACATGCCCCACAATACCTTGCTGTCGGGAGGTAATGCAGCCTATAATTGCCTAGTGAAAATAAATTACATAAAGTTGGCTTTATCAACTTATCTAAATCCTCTCACACCACTGCCAATAATTAAATGCTGAGAATGTTTTTTCAAAAATATAACTCAATGATTGTTACTTTACTCATTTTAATGGCCGCATTTGGGGGCAGACAGTAATTCCTTCAATGTGGAGGGTGAGATGGCAAGACATGAGCTGGGTCTGTCCCTGCAAAGTCACTTGGCAGGAGTCAGGGAGGGAATGATGCAGCGGCCCCAGCTGTCCCCAGTCAGGGGTGGGAGGTGGCTCCTTGTGTATGCAGATAGGCTTATGCACCAGGAAATGCATGTGCCCTGTTTGTGTTTGTGGAAAAGTCCAAACAACCAACTTTCCCTGAGTGTTTTTTATATACTGGATTGAATCAAAATCTATGAGGTGTTCCCTAAATAAATTGTGCTGAACTGGGTTGGTCCTGCTGCCAATGACAAATAAATGAATTCCAGACAGAAGTTAGATTACAGGTGCACACACACACACAGTGCCTTAATATCTTCAAGGATCTCCTTTCATTTTTTGCCCCTTTTGACATTTGAGGAATATAGTAATATACACAACAGGAGAACACATGCAAATAGTCATATGTCACACCCAGTAGTGGTCCTTTCCAACAAAACAGTTTTGAACAATGTTATAAGAACAAGACCTCCACTGGCTTAGGTTTGTAGGTTTGCACATGGGTTTGCTAACTCTAAATTATGGCTCATCCTGATTTTTATGACTATCTCTGTGCCCTCCTGTCATTTTATCCTAATCCTTCTATGAACTGTAACCACACCCTGGCACTTAAATCTATGGGGAAGTGGTGAACACACACACATCAGGATAAACAAAAAGGAAAAGACATGAACCCACTGGCATGAAGCCAGCTTGTAAGCTCCCTAATGTCATAAGCTGGTATATTATGGAAACAGTTTCTCAGAGGTCTGAGAAAATGACAGTAATTACCTACATTTTGTTGAGTAGATTCTTGTTTATGTCTATAATTGTTTGTGTCTTCATCTCTATACAAGTTAGGATATACAGAAAATACCTCCACTTGACAGAGAGGGAAATTGAGGGACAGAGAAAGCTAGGTCTAGAAGCTACTTTCCTGCTTCTCATCTCAGTAGTCCTCATTACTGATAAACACAGCCTCACCCCAACTCTTGATCCTGAATAGAAACCTATGAATCCACTGGCACTTCGAGAACCAATGTAGTGTCTTTGAGGTGCCCTTTGTTCATCCGCCCTTCTATGTATCCACCAACTCATCCAGCCAGCATTCTTGCCCAGACATCCATTTATCAACCATATCGCTGAGCTTAGTTACTGGAACTTGATAGCTTCAGAAGAGGACAGTAGAGCTCTGAACTAGAGTGGCATGCTCTCATCCAGGTATACCACAGAACTGCTCCTTAAACAGTCTAGAGGAAAAAAAAACTGTGCTTTATCCATTCCAAACAGGTGGGAATAGGGGAGGATGTTTTCTGGCTGCTCTCCAAAGAAGAGCTGCGAGTTCCTTGCCTAAGCCTCACCTGTCTTTTGTGAGATAGGATGATTCCTTGTGGGCCTGAAGGGCCTTAGAGATACTAGGACTAGTGAACTGAATCTGATTGTAAATCCTTTTGGGGTCACTACTCTGGGCCAGCCAAGATTGTTGATGAGGGCTCCCAGATGGTATTGCTTTGAAGCAAATTACTCCCATGTACAGCCTAGAACCTAATAGGAGCTGAGTAGTATCTGTGAGCTTGTGTGAAGAAAGAATTCATAAATCTATGAAGCTCTGCAAGTTGTCTCCTTCTCCTGATGCTCAGGAGGCCCTGACAACTGTTCACATATCCAAGCAGCACCCCAGAGCTCAGGGGTCCCTGCAAGATGAGGTAGTAACTCAACAGAGTTTCTCCATGCAGCTTCACTTTCCACCAGCATATCACAGTAAACTGTGTTTCTGTCTCCCCAGTCTTTGGCAATGGCTTCCCTTGGCTCTGAAAGCCTGGGTGGAGCCACAGCCCTCAGGCTGAGGAGGGAAGAGATGGAGGCCTGAGCAAGGCAAAGGTGCCTTGCATGCACCCCTAGCAGGGCAGTTACCTCTCAGGCTGGCAGGCTGAGCTGAGGGTTCCTGTGGGGCTACCAGCCCAGGAACAGACATCTTCACGTCCTCAGTCTTCCAAATCTGCCCAGAAAACAGATAACACCATGGGCTAGGGAAATGGTCCTGTCTGCAGGCCCAGGGCCCTTCCCATCTTTTCATACCTGGCGTCCTTCAGGGAAGGGGCGAGGGCATGAATCCTTTTCACCGTATTCTTGGCAAAAAGGTTACTTGGGCTCCAGCTTCCATGTGCAAAGGGTTAGCCAAATACAGTTGCAGCTTGAACAAGTTTACTCTCCACCCCATGTGCATAGTATATCTCTCCCCAACCCTTTACCTGCTTAGACTCAGCAGCCAGTTTATTAGTATTTTACATGGCTAATGCCATCTTGTCCCTCTGCCACCATCTCTGGAGGCCTCCTTCACCACTCAGCCACCAGGCCTCCCTGTCCTCTGTACTAGCCCTTAGTCCCAAAGTGTGCTGCCTGGCCTTTAGTCCCTCAGGCTGACCATATATGGCTTCTCATTTTGCTGAGTCTGGACTTTTTGCTGCTGAAGAACAAGGACCAGCTTCCATTTAAATGCTGCTGGGCCATACAAAGAGCTCAGTTACCAAGCTGAATGAGTGGTGGGCCCATGGAAGAAATGCACTTCATGCTCAGCCAGCCAGGCTTCTCTGATTGACCCATGGTGTGGACCATACCCCACTTCACATTCCAGCCCCCTCACAATACCCTGCTCTCTGCAGAGATTCTGTGCCCCTCACAGCCCACAGATGGGGTCCTGTAGAGGGACTTCTCAGGGGACACTCCTCAGCCTTGTCTCCTGTTCATACACACTGGCCCCTCAGCCAGCATGGCCTTCTCCATATTCTCTGAATTTTCCTTATCCTCAGAAATTGGTTGAAATGCCCCCTTCTCTTATGTCTCTACTGGAGATAAGTCCATTCTCCTGTTGGTATGTCTATCATGTTATCCATTCTGTTTCTTGAAGCATCATCTCCATGATTACTCTGAGACTGAGGAGGGCCTTAGAGGGCAAGACCAGGTTGGCACACAGCAAGCTCTCAAAAATGCTTGTAGAATTCAATTGGGAATTTTCTTGAATATCTTGTAGTATTTGATTAATATTTCCTTTCACAAACTGTTAAATTCAATTGAAAGTTTTTTGAGTAAGCCTCTTAGTTGTTTATCTTTACTCATTCCTTCATCTTTTCTGTCGGTCTCAGAAAAATCACCTATATTTTGTTTTTTCTTATCCAGTTCTTTCCACCTCAGTGTTTCTCTTTCTTTCTCAGTTCCATCATGGTCTCCCTCTTCATGGCCCTCCTCAGAGGATTCATGGCACATTTTGATTATCTTAATCACAGGATAAGCCATATACATGTATTTTCTGTTTGTTTACTCTTCTAGAATATGAGTATCTTGAAGACAATGACATGTTTATCATTACTTTCTGTGTTTTCTGTGGCTTGAATAAAGTGATTGGCACAGAGCCAGAGTTCAATGACTGTTATGTAGATGAATGGACGAATGAATGGATGGATGAATGAGTAGTTGGACAAATAGTCGAGTGGGTGGATAGATTCATGGATGTATGGGTGGAAGGGTAGATGAAAGGACAGATAGATGTATGAAAGAAAAAGATAGGAAGGCAGGAAGGAAAGAAGGAAGAATGGAAGGAAGCAGAGATAAAAGTTGGGCAGGTGGGTCGATCTTTTATTCTATGGACAAATGGATGGCTAGATGGATAGATGAGTAAGGAGAGAGATAAACAGTTGGATGGGTAGATGAATTAGTGAATGGATGGGAAACTGAGTAAAAGGGTTAATAGATAGTCCAAATATCTCTTTTTGGCACTGGACTTTGCATCTGAGCATTCAACTTTCATACCTTGTATAAATGTTTACTTCATTATATGAGTGTATGTATGTATAAAATTATATGTGTGTGTGTGTATATATATATGTATATACATATACATATATATATATATATATATATATATATATATATATATTTACTCATTCCTTCATCTTTCCTGTCAGTCTCAGAAAAATCATGTATAATTTGTTTTTCCCATTCTGTTCCTTTCACCTCAGTATTTCTCTTTCCTTCTCAGTTTTTTGATGGTCTCCCCCTCTCTCTATATATATACTATATATAGTTTCTTGATGATCTCCCTTTATATATATTATATATAATTTTTAAATTTATTTAACTGTTGGCCTGAAAAGAGCCTTGTCCTTGCCCTCACTTGCTATAAGAACCTGGTCCAGAATGGTCTCAAATGCAGCTGCAGATTAAGACCTTTGGAGGAAGCTAGCAAAATAAAGATGAACACATTTCTTTTATGATGCCCTCATTCTGCCCAGGCCACACCTACCCGGACTATGCCATCTAGACTTCCAGTGATGATGACATGGCTTGAGTCCCATGCTGGCCCCTCCACCATGCAGCAGCAGGTTATAGCTCCTTCTGGGCCCCAGGCTGTGGTGATGTTGGCCAGGGGCTGTCCATTGACATTCCACAGGGACAAATGGGCTCCAGCACAGGAGACAATGGTGCCCTGTAGCAGTGAGATTTGGCATCATTCCATGCTGCCTGCCCATCATGCACTTGTCCAGCTTCTCAGTTTATGGACCCAAACACCCTCACCCTGCCATCCTTTGAAGACTAATTAAGGAACTCCCAGACCTGCTAAGACATTTACTTCTTCCCAGCTGACTTGCAGGCCTGCTCTGCTTTCCCATGACTGTAAATTCCAAGCTTTTCACATCTTGTAACCATATGTTTGGGTAGTGCTTTCCCCGCACCACTGACTGGCTCACCCTTTGGACTCCTCTCACAACTCTCTCCCTCACAGTGTCCACCTCTGGCTCTGGACACAGGGCTTACACCTGGTTGGCCAACCCTATCCCCAAAAGGTTTGGGACATTACCTGAGGTAGAGCAGAATACAAATGTTCAAATGACTGCATGTCATTTGATTAAATGACTAAAGGCTCATAAAATTTAACAATAGCTACCTGGAGAGAATTTCTGAGGAGCAATTTTCTCACTTCAGCTTCTAAAATGTTTTTATCCTGAGTGTTTGCTCTTCAGGTTCTTGTCTACTTTTGTGTCTAGTAGAGCAGTCACAGGGACTCAAAGAATCATGCCTTTGAGCCTTGCATTATTACTCACAGAAGGGATACAGGCAGCTCTGTGCCCTCCATAGCCTCCCTGAGCTGGGCTCTATCATGTCCCTGTCTTAATGGTTTGCTATGCTCTTCTTAAGGCCAGGGATCATGTCTGCCCAGCACTGAGCACTAGGACCAGCAGGTAATTAGTAAACTAAGTTGGCTTCTGGTCAAGTTGAGTTCAATAATTTGTCCTGATAAGTCTTTTCTGATGTCTGGCACATCACTCATTATGGGTATTGTCACTCATCACAGATCAAGGCTGGCTCCTCCCCAATACATCTACCCATTCAGCTATTCAACCAGTAAATCTACCCATTCAGCTATTCAGCTATTCACCCAGTGTCCTTCCATCCTTCTATCCATCCATCCCGTCTATCCATACATCTATCCATTCATTTATCTACCCTCCATCTGTCCATGTAACATTCATTTTGGATTCAGGCCTACCTGGGGCATCATTTTTTAGCCAAAGTTGGACCAGAAATCTCCTCCTTCATCTTTCCTCCCCTATTTTCCCCTCTCCTACTGCATCCATGTCCTAGGGCCCTGGGGTTTTCTATAGCAGATGTAGAGCCTCTGTATTTCCAGGGAACTCTATACCCTATGACAGGGGTGTCAAGCTCACTTTCACCAGGACCTATATCAGCCTCACAGTTGCTTTCAAAGGGTCGAATGTAATTTCAACTCCTTAACACTTAAGGAGTAGTTATGTTTATAGAATCCTAAAATTATTTCAATGTTTTGAAGGCAACTGCAAGGCTGATGTGGCCCCTGGTGAGAAGGAATTTGACACCCCTGCCCTATGATGTGGATTCTAGCTTGGGAGAAACTCCCCACTGAGATTTATATATGTATTTATCTAACTCTATCTCTTACACACACACACACACACACACACACACACACACACCTCTGGACAGGTTTGTCTTTGATGGCCAGCATAGAGAGATAGGCATAAGCACTTCCTGCCGTGGAGCCCAGAGGCACAAGCTGAGTCAACACTGATTTGCAGTCAACGAGCTGAATTAGTTAAGTCCAGTAGACCCCTCACCAAAGCCAACTTCTTGCCCCAACTTCCTGGTGCCCATGCCAGAACAGAAACCTCCCACTGCCCCCACTGTGCTGAGGGAGAAAAATAAGAAAGCAAAAAGTAAACTTTAGACCCAGATGCTGCACATGCTAATGAATCCATTTCTGCCTGTGTAGAGAATGTTCTACACATTTGGGGCCCTATCAGCATGTTGGGGTGTTCAGCATTTCTCTGCCCCTGGATTTTATGTAGGGGAAGCATCTACCGTGCAAGCACCCAGGCTCACAGAAATGTCAAGGACATAGACATTATGAGTGAGAAGCCATACCGAGATGTCACTGATGGCTATGGCAGATATGCCCTCCTGGTGGGCAGGCAGGCGAGCCACATGAGTGAGGTGGTCTAGGTCCCACAGGATGCAGGTGCAGTCTTGGGAGCCACTCACAAGGATGCTGAAGGTGACTGATGCTGCCAGGCATGTGACAGCCTGTGTGTGTCCGTACAATGCCTAGAGACACAAGGTAGAACCACAGATTGTGAAAGGGACCAGCAATCCAGCTACTTGGTGAGATACTCCACTCTCCCTTTTACTGTTGGGCCCCAGATGAGGAAACAGATTTGGAATGATTCAGTGATTCCAAAGCCTGTAGGATGTGTGTACATGTGTGTGTCTATGCATCTATGGCATCCCCCTCAGTTCCATCTGTCTCTAGCATTGAGGTCCAGCTGGGAGGACTGGTATCCTTTTATTATAACCCAAGCAGACACTGAAAGCACCCTTATGCTCTGTATTGCCCATGTTTGTCTCTCATCCTGAAGCAGCATGTGCTACTATTAATACACAAGGGTGCTGATTTATGATGTGTGCATTCCAACCAGCAGCACAAACATCACTTGGGAACTTGTTAGAAATGCAGATTTTTGGATCCTAACCCAGACCTACTGAATTAAAAATTCTGGTGGTGGAGCCCCAAAACTCAGGTTTCTACAAACCTTCTTGAATTTTCATACACATTCAAGTTTGCATGGAAAAAAGGTACCTCAGAAATGCATGCAACCCTAGAATCTAAACTTGAAAGAAAGCAGGGAGTTCAGGTCATAGTTAAAATGATATGACTTTTCAAGTCCAATGGATCCAGGTTGATAGCCAGTCTGGCCATATGGCAGTGGGTGACCCAGGACCTCAGTCTTAGCTCCTCAGGATGGCCTGTGCAGGGTCTGGCCTGGCTCATGCATGGTTTGTGTCTATATCAGGCCAGAGGGTTTGTTCCCTAAGAGCTTGTTCCTGGGGAGTTAGGGACTGCTACTGGCAATGGTGTGTTTGCCACCAGAACTGTCCTGAAGGCTCCTGGTAAACCTGGTGTGAACTGCTTTTCACACACATGCTTTCTGCCCTGTGAAGTCAGACAGAGAAGTGTGGAGGTGGCTGCCTGAAATGTGGTAAACTCCGTCTTTTGCACAGACCACTTCTCATTCACTTGGGTCAAAACTGTCACTTTGCCTGGTCACAGCAATTAAAAGTTCTACCTCAGATTTCTGTTTGTCCTCAGTAGAACTTAACATGGCACCAACCAGATGGTACTGGCAAGGTTCTGACCAATATCCACAAAAGAACATTTGGGTCATCTTGGGAAAATGAAAACTGTCTGGATGAATAAACAAAAGCATAGGATTTGACAGGAGCTTTCTCATTGTCTTTTCAGAATGAGCTAAGTATGGTGGCTAAGTTCTAACCATAGAGGACAGTGACTCCAAAGAGTGAAGGCCAGGAGGCCCAGGAATAGGGCTGGGTTTTCAGAGTGAGGATCTCTGAACCTGTTGTTTGTTAATAGAGCCACATCTGCTGCTCTCTGCAGGGAAGCTGCAGAGTGAAGAACCAGCCTGCATATGTGGGCACCACCCACCTACACAAGGCTTGTTGCCCACCTACACAAGGCTTGTTGCCAAACTGAAGCACCTGGAGGCAGCCAGCACAACCCCATCTGGAAAGGCCAGGGAAATCAGAGAAGGTGGACGGCAGTTTTAAATGTGTCCTCAATCAGTTCCGGTTGTTCCTCAGAATACTCTACATGGTCAGTTAAAATGCATTCATTATATCATTTTAGGTAGAATTAAAGTAGCAAAAATTAAATAAATAAAAACCTCTTAAAATGATTCTTTATGCTGGATACGGTGAGGTAATATGGGCCTTCCTAATTAAGGGTTGGAGGTACCATAAATCTCTAAAATTATTATAGAAAGCATTATGTCACTGCTCCCTAGTTTTGCTTCTTAAAAATTTATTTTAAGGAAATAATCAGAAGCAAACAGCAATCTACATAGGATGTTTGCTGTGGCACTATTCAAAATAGTTAAAGCTTGTTAGTAGTTGTTTAGTTTTAGAAGAAATGGCTTATAGAACTGTGGCATATTGACATAAAACAATTGAAATGTAATTTTATGGAAATAATATAATATGGAACAGAGGAAATGTAAATTATAGAGACTGTAGAAAAGTGGAAATGATTTGACAGGCTGGGTGAAAATGGAATAAACATATGTACACAATGGTATCCACAGAATGGTATAAATGTATATATCTGGAGTGGTAGTTTTTACTTGGAAGTAAATTAAAAATTTGTCTTTAATGGTGTACTATCTTTTAAAATAAAATACTTTCAAAAACTGTTTATGAAATATTTAATGAAGACTTCTCTGTTTATAACTTGGGGGCAGGCCCCCAATGCCCAGCAGCTGGTAGTCTGGGGGATCCCCAAGTCCATGTCAGCCTCTGTAGGCACATGATAAAGGATTTTATTTTGCCTAGGAAATAGGAACGTGCAGGACTCTCATACTTTTTTCCTCTTGTTTTAGAACAAGGAGAGGATAAGTTACATTTTATGCTGTCAATGCTGGGCTTGTACAGTGCATCTTCACTAGTGAACAAGACCTTGGAGCAGCGGTGCAAAGGTTGCTTCCCTGGCTCCCAAGGCTGATGGCTGTGAAAGGAGAACAATCTACAGAGTGTTAAATGCACAATGTCTTCACTTAGGTCTGGAATAAAAACTCAAACCTCTGACACAGCAGTTGATAGAATGGAGAAACATGAAAATGTGAAAGGGTAGGAGCTCTGAGGTTGGCTTTCGGGGACTCCTCTGAGAGTCAAGGGAAGGCAGCCTGTACTTGACCTGCACAGCTGTCTCTCAGCAGGTGCTGCTACCTCTGCAAGACTGGTGAACTCCCTTGTGGTTAACTGTGTGCCCAGTGTGCACCACATATGTGCTGGAGTGGCCTGGGAACATGCACAGAAACCCAGGATTAGTTCCAGTGAAATATGTTCAGTTTAGGAAATCTCGTCAGTAGTCTGTTTTGTATGATTAATTTTGGTTTTTGTTACTTTAGGCCTATATGGTTACTACAAAACAGATATAAAAAGCCATTACATTTTAGAGTTGGAAGTGTCCCCTAGTGACATTCTTGGGCAGGTTCAAGAGTACACGGGGAAAAAGCATGGGTTTAAAGTTACACAGATCTAGATTAAAATGCAAACTTGACCTTTCTGAGTGTCAGTTCTGAAAGTAGAACAATAATACCTGCTTTACAAAACAGATTAATGTGTGGAGCCTTCCATAAACAGTGAATAGCATTCTGCTTATCACTGGGAGAAGTGCTGTTTGTGAGATGAGACCACCCTGCTGCCCAGCTGCTTTTCTCTCCTGACACCACCACTCTTGTCTTTCATTTCCTGGCTCTGTGATTTTGGATGAGTCATTTAACTTCCTCATACCTATCTTCTCCCTATTAGTAATATAGAAATGACAACAGTACCTACTTTACAGAGCTGTTGAGGGGGTGAAGTGAGGTTACCTACATAAATGTGCCCATGGCAAATGATCAAACATGTTCTCTAGTGCAAAGAAACGAGTCTCACTGGCACTGAGATGTGGAGGCACCTGCCCTGTGCACCTGCATGGGCATGAAATGGTGCCCTGACAACACAGAGCTGTGTGCTGCCCTCTGTGCCTCACTTCATTCTCTGCTTCTGAAGTCAGGAAGTTGGGGCCTGTGAGGACACTGTACCTGCCCAAGGTACACTTGTACTATGTACTATACCTGCCCAAGCCACCACACCTGCCCAGGCACTGTACCTGCTTGAGGTGTAGGCCTCTTGGACTGCCTTTGGCCACACTGAGCTCCCATACACACACCACAGTGCTGGCCCCTGAGGTGATGATTGTCGTGGGGGATGGGCACACTGCACACAAACAGCGGCCCCAGGCAGCCAGGTTCTCAAATGTAACCAGAATCTGTGGAAGACAAATAGGATAGTCTCCTTGGAATGGGTTTGGAGGCTCGGCCCACAAGTGCCCTTGGCACAGTCACATAAACCCTCTCACTCCCAGGGGGGCGGGGCAGGGCAGAGCTACATGAAAGATATGGGCCATGGGTGACTGTGCCTACTTTAGGCTCACCCATCTCCTGACCACCTCTGCTCCATCTAGAAGGAGGCTGAGACCTGTGGTTGCCCTGGTTCCCTGGCCTAATCACCTTGTCAGAGCCATAGTTCCCCAGGCAGCAGCTGAAGTCATCAAAGCCCCAGCTGAAGGTCCTGTTCCAGAGAGGAGGCAGCAGCACCTTGTTCTTCTCCACCGCCAGGATTGTCTTCTCAGTGGGGACGATGTGGCCAATGGCACCTTTGGGGGACTCGGAGCCTAGAGAGAAAAGGTACATATCTGCCCCCCAGTTAGTATGGTGGGGCTCATAGTCAAAGGACAACACCCCCTTTAGCTGGGCCCAGAAACGTGCCAGGAACAGGCAACCTGGACTCAGCAAAGAAGGAACCAAGGCAGAAATGACTGGCCAAAGCACCTCACCCCAAGGCCTTACTCAAGGGGCCACATTAGATCCTGGCCCCCAAGAAGCTCCATGGCCCTGAGGCTATCCCCTGGTCCCAGGCTCCACCCCTGACTTAGCAAATACCTTCAGTATGTGGCCATGTGGGTCTTCAGTGTATCTTAAGGGATAATGGTAGAGAAGGAGGGGCCAAGGTTGTAGAGGTGGATGGCACAAAACCATAGGAGCCTTGTGGGGGGGGGGGTTCTGTCCTTCCTGCCCTTCCCAGGCACCATGTCTAGCAGGGCTGTATGTGCCAAGGATACTTGGCACATTCTTGGACTTCAGAGCAAACAACAACAACAAACTTGACTTTATACTCCTCAGAACCAGAATGTCCCATGCAATAGGATTTCCAAAAATCAATGCACACCCCAGGGTGGCACAGATATCAGAATTCACCCACCCGTAGCTTCTCTAGGAAGTGGCAGGGCTGGAACTCACACCCAGGCCATATTCTCAAGGGCACATGCTCTTGTTAACTGGCTGTAGGCCCACCTGGGTACTTAGGAGAAGCAGAAACTTCAGGTACCAAGGACAGGAGGCTGCAGCCCTCCCTTGAGAAACCTGGGACTTGACCATTCAGCTGTGAAGGTAAGGAGCGGTATGTGTGCATGAAATGGGGAGAAAGAGAAAAATAAGAGAAAGAGAAATAGGAGGGTGTATGTGTGTGTCTCAGATAGACAGACACACAGGGTCTGACAAAATTCATCCTGGACACTGTCAGAACAGAGGCCTTCCCAGATTCGTTCTAGGCCTAGATACACAGTTGGACCCAAAGACCCTGCCAAAGTCTGTGCCCCTGAAGCTCCAGAAGAATGCCAGTCACTGTTGGGACAACTGTGGAGCAGAGAGCCAAACTAAGCAGGGCCAGATACTTACCTTTGACTGTGACCTGGGAGGGCCGCAGTGACTGCAGGCTGTAGAAAAAGGGCTGTGGGTGGCTAGGCAGGCTCAAAGGTGTGGAGACATCCTTGCCAGATGAAGGCTTCCCCATAGCTGTCCTGGCTGGGTGGGGTTTAGTAAAGAGCTGGAGAGACAAGATGAAAGGCATACATGCATAGATCCTTAGGGGTAGACAGGTAGACAGGCAGACAGGCAGAGAGTCAGAGGAGTTGTGTGCATGCAAGTTGAAGCTGCCCCTCTGCTCTGGGTGCTGCCTGGGCTGAAGTTTGTTTCTGACCTGGGTGGACATAATCAGCATAAGCAGAACCATCTGGTTAAAACCCTGGATGTCAGAGATGAAAAGCCTGGATATCAGAGGAGCAACTACTTGTTCAGGGTCACAGTGTAGGACTGGCAAACATAAGTTTCCTGGCTGCCAAATTTGTCTTCTTCACCACGCTTCTTGGGAAAAGCATGACCTCACTGAGGAGCCTCTGGTCCTGAGAACAGTTGTCTTCCTTATTATGGGGCCAGAATGGCCCTCTCTCCATCCCAGATCAATGTCTCTCTTCATTCACTGATACTGTTTCTCATATTTTCCCTTTCCCTACATACTCTCTGCAGATGTGTCCATCTGGACACAGAATTTCTTAGTAGCTTCTATTCAAGTATTTCAAAGAGCACAGACAAACCCCATTACAGGCCTTTCTTATTTTGATTTTTCATAGATCTCTATTGTCAAATTGTCCCTAATGCCAAACTTTTTGCATAACCAAGCAAAGAAGGAAGTGAAGTCTATGCTGCCTGGCAGAATCCTTGCTGCTGGGCCAGATAGAGTGGGAGAGGCCAGCTGTAGTCCTCCACATCCCCTCACTTCATGACTGAGTTCCTGATAGGATGCTTTCCTTAGCCAGTGGGCACATTCCTGGGTACCATAATGGAAGGGCTGAGGTGGGAGCTGACCTCAGCTGGGCACAGATAGAGGCGGGGCTCTGTGGGCACCAGGGGGCCTCAGAACAGCCTTGGCTCAGTTACAGCCCTCTATCATATGCAGACTACCTAGTAAAGCTAGGTGGGTGGCAATACAAATAGAAATCAGAGTGATGATCTTTACATGAGCATTAGGTAAAGAACATTCCCTTGCACAGCAGAATGAATATAGCACCGAATCACTGTCACAGCTTTGGCAGGCACAGCCTCTTGATGGAACAGTTCACAGTCCTGAACCATTTTTTTAAAACATTTTATTCATTTTACTTTTAGAGAAAGGGGAAGGGAGGGGAAAAAGAGGGAGAGAAACATCAGTTTATGGTTGCCTCTTGCATGCCCCCAACTGGGGACCTGGCCCACAGCCCAGGCATGTGACCTCACTTGGAATTGAGCCAGCTACCCTTTGGTTCGCAGGCTGGCCCTCAATCCACTGAGCCACACCAGCCAAGGGCTGAACCACTTTAACTTTGTCTTCAGTCTGAGACCACTTGGAGAATTCTAATTCTGATAATTATTTATAAATATGTTTAACAGCTCACATGATATATCATTAAGTAAAATCAGAATCTAAAATTGTGTGTACTACATGATTACATGGTGTGAAAATATTTTTTCTTATGAACAGGATTATGAGTACATAACACAGTACACAGATGGTAGTGACTACTATTTTGAATTATTTATTTGCTTTATCTGTATTTTTCTATTTTTAAAAGGAGATAAATAAAACCATTAGGCTGCCCAAGCTTCTTTCCTAAAATTCTCTCCTTTCTACCAAGCCTTCCCTGAGAAAACCCACATTCAAATGTGCCATCTATTCTTCAAGTGACCCTCAGGACCTGGACCTTCCATGGTCCCCTTATGAGAGCTAAGTAAACATAAGCATGTCACCTAAGACCAGGCAGAAAAGATGTTATCAGTTTTGCATTAACTGAGTTGATCCTGTCCACTTCTCATGCAAGGAAGGCTGTTGACTAGGATGGTCATGGAACTGGCTGGCCTTATGCATTCATTTGTCAGTGTGACTCCTGATTTCCCATGCTAGGACCTCAGCTGGGTGCCTATGCTTCTAAATCCAGATGGCTGTGCCATGGATAAAATTCCTCTACACTAAACTAAAGTTTGAGGATCAACAGAGCCAGAATCAATTAAATAAATATTCAACTCTCTTGCACACCATTCATCAGAGTGTCAACATGAATGCACAGCTTCACATTGATACATGACTGTCCTGGCAGGGAATGGAGCCAGTAATAGGCTCATGTGAGATCCCTGTGATTGCACCAGGGACCCAGGGGGGCAGAACTGAGGTGCTCTCCCATGGTGGCAATATGACATAGATTTGGGAGTCAGCCACATATGGCCGGAGCTCTACTTCTCTCCCCTGCTAATGATGCAATTATGGGCAAATTATTTATTGAGCCTCTTTGAGCCTCAGTTTCCTCATCTACAAAAGACTAATTATTTTTACACAGAGCTTATGAGAGAATTCAATGAGGTAACCACACTAGTAGCTAACATTTGTTGAGTACTAATCGTATTTCAAGTACTTTTGAGTACTTCATATCTTAACTCATTGGATCTTCACAACAACTCTAGAAGGTGGATATATATATAAAGAATTACATCCTGTGGATTTATCATAGTGTCATCAAGTACATCAGAGATGGATGTAGTCTTCATCATTATCATTAATAATGTCATCACTTTCATCAACACCTGATAACTGAAGGTTAGCTTTCATATTGAAGGTGCAGGTGGATGCTCAGAGACCATTTTGCCTGTTCAAACCTCCCTCTTGATCCCATCCTAGGAGCAAGTTCTCTCTCTCTTTCTTTCTCTCTCTCTCTCTCTCCCCTGCCCCCCCAAACCCAAGCTCATTTATTTGATAAAGGAAGACAAAGGATATGGCATGTACCTGTTTGGGAACTTGTCCAAAGTTGCTGACAAACCCCAAGATGGTGTTCCTGATCAGGGGGTCACCAATGCTGCTGAGGTCCATTTTGTCACCATAGAAGTAGGGGTGGAAGGTATTAACAGCCTCCACTGCTGCTGATCCCTGCTGCTTATATCCAAAAATGAGGTCTATCCAGTGGTGGAGGTTGGCACTGACGAAGTCACTTTCCAAAGCCTGGAACCAAAACCCAAAGAGCATGTAAAATGCAGGCCTCAGAGACTCACTGCACATATCAGGAAGGGCAAATGGTTCCTGGCTCTGCACAGGAAATGAATGATGACTCCCTGGACTTGACGAGTTCTGAGTGGGCAGATGTGCAGGACACTTAAGGACTACCCAGTTCCTGTTCCCAGCTAGTGGCAAAACAGATCTGACTATTCCTACTACCCTAGCTCATCCACTCCATAAAATAACCATGAGGGCCAGAATATCTTGAGAGTGACAGCCAAAGGAAAGAGTCCAGACTGAAAATAAAGTCTTGAGATTTGACACAGAAGAAATGAGAGCTGATTCTTACCAGAGAATGTTGGGAGGCTGAGACTAAATGTTACAGCTAGGAGAACATGCTCTGGAAAGGATTGGACCCTGGCACTGCCACTTATGTTCTTTAACATCTCTGTTTCTTAGTTTCTTCATCTGCCAAATAGGGATAATGATTGTACCTTCTTTATGGGTTTATGGGCAGATTAGTTTGTGTTCATGCCTGGTACATGGTTATCTCTATGTAGTATTAGCTACAATGATTACATTGAGCATCCACTGGGTACCGGGTATGGCTTGGGGTTTTATGTGCTGTCTCTGTTCATTAAAACCATCTTTTGCTGGCATGAAAAATGCAACATTCTTAGTGATTTCAATCTCTCACCTTTGTGTTCCTTTATTTTCATTTTCTACAATGACTTTTACCTCCACTCAACCTAGTCACCCACTCCCATAGACACACCTTCACCCATGCCAGTATCTATAACTACTCTTCTTCAAAATCACTCATTCAATCATTCCATTGGTGAAAGCCACGTCTTCACCTTGCTGGTTGTTTAACTACTTTCTAAAATTATTTTTTCACCTTATTACTACATACAGCCCCTTGCCCCTCTACTTATTTTAGTTATTAATCTATCAACATTCTCGAGTCTTTAGCCACATCTTGATCCAGCTCAAATTTAGTGGGCCAATATTTCAATAACACTATGGCCAATATCTCATTTTATGAATCATATGTACTTCCATCTTTTCATAACATTCTGATTAAATTCAAATATTTTCTGTCTTCACGCCTGTATCAGAGTAGCTGAAGAACATCACGCAAGTGGGAACATTGATCAATCTATAATTTTTTATCATTAATTTCAAATGGACAATGAGCATTGCCAAATAACCCAGATATGTTTCTCTGGTCAACTCATGCTAAATTGTTTTACATGACTATTTTCCATTTCCTGTAATCTCCTCAGCTCTGATCCTCACAGTCTGTCCACTTTCAGTAGTTAACCATACCCTCCACTTTACAGAGAAAAATAGAAGCCAATTAGAAACTCATACATCTGTCTGAAAATACATAAATCTACCCTCATCTGCTACCTGCTTACTTCCTTCCCTACTATTTAAATCAAGAACCTATCTCACCTCTTCCACAAAGTTAACCCTCTACCTTTGATTTGAATTCCAATTCCTCCTGCTTTCTCATGAAGTTATTAATCCTTCCCTTTTATATTCAACATCCCTTTTCCACTGTCTCTTTTTAAATATATTTTATTGATTATGCCATTACAGTTGTCCCATTCCCCCCTCTTCATTCCCCTCTACCCTAAAAGCCCCTCCCCCACCATTCCCCCATTTTGTTTATGTCCATGTGTCACAAGTTCTTTAGATTCTATATTTCCCATACTATTCTTGCCCTCCCCCCTATCTATTTTCTACCTACTGTCTATGCTACTTATTCTCTGTACCTTTTCCTCCCTTCTCCTCCTTCCTCTCCCCTATTGCTAACCCTCCATGTGATCTCCATTTCTATGGTTCTGCTCCTGATCTAGCTGTCCTCTTAGTTTGCTTTTGTTTTAGGTGTGGTTGTTAATAACTGTGAGTTGGCTGTCCTTTCACTGTTCATATTTTTTATCTTCTTTTTCATAGATAAGTACATTTAACATTTCATATAATAAGGGCTTGGTGATGATGAACTCCTTGAACTTGACCTTATCTGAGAAGCACTTGATCCGCCCTCCCATTCTAAATGAAAGCTTTGCTGGATAGAGCAATCTTAGTTGTAGATCTTTGGATTTCATGGCTTGGAATGCTTCTTTCCAGCTCCTTCTTGCCTGTAAAGTCTCTTTTGAGAAATCAGCTGACAGTCTGATGGGAACTCCTTTGTAGGTGACTGTCCCCTTATCTCTTGCTGCTTCTAGGATTCTCTCCTTCATTTGAATCTTGGCTAATATAATTATGATGTGCATTGGTGTGTTCCTTCTTGGCTTCAACTTCTTTGGGACTCTCTGAGCTTCCTGGGTTTCCTGGAAGTCTATTTCCTTTGCCAGATTGGGGAAGTTCTCCTTTATTATTTGTTCAAATACGTTTTCCACTTGTGGCTGTTTCTCTTTCCCTTCTGGTACCCCTATAATTTGGATGTTGGAATGTTTAAAGATGTCCTGGAGGATCCTTAGCCTCTCCTCATTTTTTTGAATTCTTGTTTCTTCATTCTGTTCTGTTTGGTCATTTTCCTTCTGGTCCACTCCCTTGATTTGAGTCCCAGTTTCTTTTCTGTCACTATTGGTTTCCTGTGCATTTCCCTTCATTTCAATTAGTTTAGCCTTCATTTGTTCCTCTAGTTTGTGACTAAAAATCAACCAGAGACCTGGGTTGCCCCACCCTGGTGAACACCTAAGGCTCTGCCCCTCATATATAACAGGTGTGAACAAACCAAAACATTATGGCTCAAGAACAGCTCAAAGCTCTGGAGCCAATAAATCTAAGGGAGCAAGAGATAGCTGACCTTTCAGATGCACAGTTCAAAACACTGATGATCAGGATGCTCACAGAATTGGTTGATTTTAGTCCATTGTTTCTTAAAGATGCTTTTAATACATTTAGATACATAGCCTTAACATTTCCTTAAACTGTCATCTCATTCAGGTACTATTCTCTCTTCATTCTCTCCTTCACAACCAGAATTTTTGTTACCCATCCTCACCCTCTCCATTTCCTCATCATCATTCCCTTATATTATTTTTATGTGTATTTGACTTGTTGTCTTGTGTCCTTTTATTTCAGGATGAATAACTGCCTTTAATATTTTTCACACAGCAGGCCTGCTAGTGATAAATTCTGTTTTATTTATCTGGAAATGTCTTAATAAATTTCTTCTTCAGTTTTGAAGAATATATTTGCTGGACATAGAATTCATGGTTGGCAGTCTTTTAGCACTTTGAATGTGCCATGCCTTCTGGACTCCTGGTTTCTAAAATGATATTAACTGTTAATCTTATTGAAGATAAATTTTAGGTGATGGCTTCACTCTTGTTGTTTTCAAAATTTTTCTTTTGACTTATCTCTTTTTAAACTTTATTTTTCAACATTTATTAAAATGTTTTCAACATTTAATATTATGTTCATGTGTACAGCATATTGGTTAGACTATCATATATTCTGCAAGGTATTCCCCCAATATTTCAAGTACCCATGTGGTATCATATGTAGTTATTACAATACTATTGACTATATTCCCTCTGCTGTCTTTACTTTACATCTCCATGACATTTTGTGAGTATCAGTTTGTAGTTCTTCATGCCTTCACATTTCACCCACCCTCCCAACCTCTCTCCCTTCTGGAAATTGTCCAAATGTTCTCTGTATCTATGAGTCTATTTCTATTTTGCTTATCTTGCTCATTAGATTATACATACAAGGTCTTGCACAAATAACATCCTTTTATATTATAAAATATTTTATTACAAAATCATGAGCATGTAATTCTGTAACATAACAGTATCACAATCTAGCATACCATATGACATTTTAGGTGAAATGTTCACATTAGAACTATAAATTATTATACTCATATTGTTACCCTACCAACTACACTCACACAGGTGTTACTTCTGCTGGATCCTGTGTAATCAAAATCATGAAGTATTTATCTTTTTCTGTCTGGCTTACTTTATTTATTCTGAAACACTCTAGGTCCATCAAATACAGTTGCAAATGGTAAGATTTAATTACTTTTTTATGGTGGAGTAATATTCCATTGTATATATGTACTATAGGTTTTTTATTTTTTATCCATTTGTCTATTGATGGGCACTTGGACTGCTTCCATATCTTGGCTATTGTAAATAACACCGCAATGAACATAATGGTGCATATATTCTTTCAAATTAGTGCTTGGGATTTCTTCAAATATATACCCAGAACTGGAATTTCTGGTTAATAAGAAAGTTCTATTTTTAATTGTTTGAGGGATGTCCATACTGTTTTCCATAGTGGCTGCACCAAACTGCATTCTCACTAACAATGCACAAAGGTTCCCTTTTCTCCACAGCATTGCCAACATTTGTTGCTGGTTGATTTATTGATGATAGCCATTCTGGCAGGTGTGAGGTTATATTTCATTTTGGTCTTAATTTGTATTCCTATGATGATTAGTGACTTGGAGCTCCTTTCATATCTCTATTGGTTATCTGCATGTTCTCTTTGGAGAAGGGTCTGTTCAAACCTCTGCCCACTTTTAAATTAGATTGTTTGCTTTTTGGTGTTGAATTTTATGAGCTGTTTATAAAATTTGGATATTAACACCCTTATCAGATGTGTCATTGGTGAATATGTTCTCTCATTCAGTGAGTTGTCATTTCATTTTGTTGATGGTTTCCTTTGTTGTGCAAAAACTTTTTAGTTTGATGTAGTCCAGTTGGTTGGCATAATCCCAGAAAGTGAAAAATCACTGGTTTGATTCCCAGTTAGGGCATGGGCCTGGGTCGTGGTCCTGGTTCCCCTGTCAGGGTATGTGTAAGAGGCAATAAATTGATGTTTCTCATATTGATGCTTCTCTCCCTTTCTCCCTCCTTTTCCCTCTAAGAATAAGCAAAAGTTAAAAAATCTCTAAAAAGTAAAATATTCTTTTTAGTTTGATGTAGTCCCATTTGTTAGTTCTATTTTTCCCATTTCTATGGGGATATTTCAGAGAA